CAGCCACCCCATCCCTCCCACCACCCACCGCTCCAGCAACCCTCAGTTTGTTTCCTGCGATTAAGAATGCCTCATATCAGTCTTCACTCCTCTTTTTCAATCCATGTTTGTTTTCAGAACTAAGGTTTCCAGACCTTGGCCTACGAAGGTGGAGACAACAGGTAGTTCTTTGTTACTGAATAATATTCAAGTTTAAGTAACATTATGGGAGCCATAATATGAGGCAGGAGGGACACTGAGTGACAGTCTAATGGAGGGACAGACTCTGAATGAAAATGATGACTTGGGTGTGTGTCCTGTAGATAACGTGTTTCCCCTCTGGGGAAACAGTGTCACATACACCCATGTCCCGGAGGACTGTGAAGGCAGGACTTTATATCTCTCGACAGCCCCCAGGATGCCTGACACGGGCCTGACACTCAGACATTAATGATTTCATTTTGCTCTGCTCTTCAGATTGCTGGTAATCGTAATTCTGGGGCCGTCATTCTTGTTTTGCTGTGGCGGGTGGAGTAGTCAGTCAGAATAAGAACTCTCATCCTCTTCCATCAGGTGTACCTAATCTATGAATTTCATTTGATCCACAATAATTCCCTTCAATTAATTGCCTTGATCCTTGCAGGAAACATGAATCTGAGCTTTTGCGTATTTGTCTGATTTTCCTCTGAACTGGTCTTTCTGGGCCAGGAAGAGATTCCCGTAGGAATTGCAGTGATGTGGCCGGAGTTACGCGAAGCCCTAAACGGTACCTGGTCCTGGGCTCAGCCTGCTGGTCCTGCCCCCCCCTATGCATTGCCTCTGCTCCCTCACCCCTCTGGTTCCATCCCGCATTCTAGAACACCCCCCATGGTGGTGGTGAGGACAAGAAGCAATACCGAATGGGTTATTATTTCCACTAGTGTGGTGATTGTGTTAGCCCAGCATCGTTTACTCAGCAGGCTAGGAAGCCTTCAGGTGCCTCACATGGAGGCTACATTTGTTTTCTTTCCTTGGCTCCCAAGTTCCTGTTTCCCTACCAGGTTCTGCAGGCTCCTTAGCAGTGAAGGCTATGGCGTGAAGCTTTTTCATACTCTGTAATTTCTATTTTGGAAATACTTTAGTCTTCTTAATATGAAATGTTACTTCAATACTCATTATCATTTTTTATCCAGTCCAAAGCACCGTCCGCCTTGCATCCAGAGTCCGTGCTCCGAGAAGGTGGAGATCTGTGATGGAAGCACAAGGTTGAGGTGGCAGGAAGTGAGGAGTGGGGTCGAACTGGTCTGGGGTGTCTGGTGATTATAGAACAGGGCAACTGCCTGATGGAGTAAAGTGGCTGGAATTTTCCTCTGATTTCCCTTTGGACTGGAAGCATCTCTTTCCCCAGTTGAGTATATCCCTTAGGACAATGAAGTTGCAGTTGAACTTGGTAGAGGTATTTGTGAGCTTATGGTTGAAACTGGCAAGTGGGAATGTTTTAGCAACTGGGTTCTATTCCAAATGCTCCCTCAAACTGCTCACATTTTGAACAAGAACTACATTCTATTAAGCAACAAACAGTTCTGTGCCAGGGGAATTTTTTGTGATACCAAGAGGACAGTTGGTGTGAATTGGGTGGGTAGCATTTATTAGACTAGATGAGATAATACTTGGAATGTTAGTTGAAATGTGGATAGGAATGAATACTATTTGAAATATCAAAAGATAGTTTCTAGACATCAGTTTATCAGCCTCCTGGTGTGTGACTGTTAGGACTGCATGATTATAACATGATTATGGATGAAAAAATGAATCTTTGGGTTTTTAAAAAATTTTTTTATTGTAGTAAGAATAGTTAACATGAGAGCCACCCTGTTAACAAATCTCTATTTTTCTTTTAAATTTATTTATTTACTTGGGGCGGGGGGAGAGGGAGAGAGAGAATCCCAAGCAGACTCCCCACTGAGCTCGGAGCCCAACAGGGAGCTGGATCTCATGACCCCAAGATCATAACCTGAGCCGAAACCAAGAGTCAGATGCTCAATGGACTGAGCCACCCAAGGGCCCCTGTAAACAAAACTTTACATGCACAAGACAGGACTGTAACCTAGAGACACAGTGTTGCACAGAAGGCTATGTGGGCTTTCGTGAATAATACTGCAACGGACATGGGAGTGTAGATATCTTTTTGAGATCTTGATTTCAATTCTTTTGGATATCTGTATCCAGAAGTGGGATAGCTGGATCATACAGTAGTTCTGTTTTTAATTTTTTCAAGAACCACCATAGTGCTTTCCCTAGCAACTGCACCAGTTTGCTTTTGCCCCAGCAGTGGGCAAAGGTTCCGATTTCTCCAAATCCTCACCAACATTTTTATCTATTGTTCCCTATTGTTTTTCTTTTTATAACCTCCATCCTGGCAGGTGTAAAGTGATGTCTCATTGTGGTTTCGAATTGCATTTCATGGATAATTAGTGATGTTGAGCATTGTTAAACATACCTGTTGGCCACCAGTCTGGAAGTCTACCATGAGATACAAAAGTGAAGAATCCGCAGATCCCGTGGTTGGTTCTATCTGAGTCAGGTTCCAGCACCGTCTAGATGAGGCACTAGACCCTTCTGAGCTCCAGATTGTCTTGTGCACATTCAGACACCCAAGCTCTTTGACACCTGTTATTCTAAGGCACTATGACGTATGGGCATCTTCTTCTTGGGTGTGCAAACATACGCACTAGAGGCCAAGCTTCAGCTCAGGTTACAGACAGAGAAAAACTGGCAGCAAGCATCCCCCCAGTAAGAATAGATGCGGAAGAGGATTTTTGGAACTTGTACAATTCTGCCTCCTACCAGTGGCAGATAACTGACTGGTTCCCCCTTACTTCCCGATCCACCTTACTGCCTGTTAGGGAAAATGTATAAACTTTGGAATCACGAAGTTCCCAGTTAGGTCACAAACCCACTTTAACATGGGGTTCAAATGTTTTGTTTCTGTTTTGTTTTTACTTTTTTGCAGATAAAAAATATCATAAAAATGAAATTCCTGCTCATGTTTCTCAAAAATACTTTCTTTTTACCTATGCTTATATCTAAAGAAAAATATTACTCCACAAAGATGCATTAAATCATGCTGGGTGTATTAAAATGCAAACGATGTGATTCTACCCAAAACAACCTTGAACAGCTTTGGCATTGCTTCTCATGATTGCTTCTGGGTTTTTGTTTTTTTTTTTAAGATTTTATTTATTTATTTGCAAGAGAGAGAGCACGAACAGGGGGAAGGGCAGAGGGACAAGCAGACTCCCCACTGAGTGCAGAGCCCCACACGGGGCTCGATCCCAGGACCTGAGATCATGACTTGAGCTGAAGGCAGCTCTTAACCGACTGAGCCACCCAGGTGCCCCATTCTGTTTTCTTTTTATGTAGGATACAGAGAAAATAAACTGTGCAACTATGTACATATGGTAATAGTGAGTCTCTCATCGGGTTTTTATTGTCACTAGCTGTGGTGATGGCTATTCTTGCCCATTTTTGATGAGTCTAATGCTGGGTCGACATTGTCCTGCAGCTTTGCTCTGGGGCTGGCTAGCAAGAGGGAGCACCATTCAGGAGTTAGATAAATAACAGGTCGGATATGACAGTATCAGGGACCACCGCAGCCAGCGTGACGGGCCAGCTTTAGCAACATCAGCTGACGCAGGACGAGCACCGAGGTCCTACATCTGGGCGGGCCGTCGATGCCAGTGCTCAGGAGGCCCGTGTGCAGGTATCAGGAGCCTGGATTGGGGCAAATGAGGGACATGCTCTGGGTTACCAACAGTCACGGAACTAGTCGTGCCTCATGTCCACATTGTAAAACTCTCCTCCATAATCATCTGGCTGTGGATATTGGGATTCGTCTCCTTAATCCTTCCTATAAACGCACTGCCAAGTCAATGCGGTTCATGCCCAGTTTGGTGGTTTGGCACCTTTGTCTCCGGAGCGCCCTTCACGGTTCCTCCGGAACCTGTTAGCTTTTCTCAAAACCCCCCGTCGTCGAGCACATTGTAATCCAGGTAGGAAGGAAGCCCGTGACTGCAGCTGCTGATCCTTGGCTCTAGGTAGCTTCTGTGGTTAGCAAAGTGAGAGAGAGTTAGCAGGCCTTCACATGAATGACTACAGAACGTGGCTCGTGGTCCTCCCCGGGGACTGGGACTTTGTATTACATACGTAGCACTCGGCTTTCTTCATGCTTGCCTGTTACAGGTTTAGAAATATTGTCTGAAAGAACAAGAGGCACTGAGAAAGCATAGGGAGAAATAGGCAAAACTGGTTTCCTCAGCAGGAGGACGAGCCCAGACAGCCCCGTGAGCGGCCAGGGGGCGCATCAATGCCTTCCTGCAAGGCACGTTCCATCCGCGGCCGCATCACATTGGTCAGACCGGGATTTCAGAAGTGTTGTGACTTTGTGTCCCTTCCCAGTGGATGGCGTCTGGTCTTGCTGGTCTCCGTGGTCAAAATGCTCGGCCACGTGTGGCGGTGGGCACTACATGAGGACCCGCTCGTGCACAAACCCAGCCCCAGCCTACGGAGGAGACATCTGCCTGGGGCTGCACACGGAGGAGGCGCTCTGCAACACGCAGCCCTGCCCGGGTAAGCGGCCTGCCTGATTGCCCGACTCGGGGCTCAACCCGTCCCTTCCCTCCCTTGATTTGCAAACGGTGAAAGTGATGAGACCCCATGAGAGCAAACAGCGAAAGAAGGGAACACCTCAGTCCCGCGCTGTTATCCTTGCAGTGACGTCATAGCACATTGTTCCACAGGAGAAAAAACAGTTCTCACCGTGCCATAGTTTCTCAACTAGTAACAGACACGGGTCATCACAGTGCATTATTAAAAGGTTTAACCTGGTAATGGGATCTGAAAACCAGGTTGGGGAGCAAGGAGAGCCCTTGTGAAGAACTTGGCCTCCAGTCCAGGAGTCGGGGGGATCCAAGCTCCGAGGTTGGCTAACACAGATGCTCAGTGGGTACGCTGCAGCAGCATCCTCATCCAATAATCTGTTTTGTCCTGACGTGTGGAGGCCGCTTGGAATGGAAATGAGACACCCTCTTCTGAGTCTAACTTTGACATTGAAACACCCATACTTTTAATTTTTTTACTTGCTCCTGCAGATCTTTCTGGAAGGTTCCATTTATATTGAAAAGTGCCTAGAAACCAGATTCTCACAGTCATCCTCAAACCTCGTACTTTACACGTTTTTTTTTTTTT